AGGCATGTCGCTGCATGAATAATTCGTTGGGATTTGGTATTGTTAAGAAAATGACATCAGATGTTGCTTCATGAGATGAATAATTCTAGTTCAGCGTGTTATTTTAAAAAGTTGCATACACAACGGCCCCGTGAAAAAAAAAGTGTAAGATGTAAAAATATAACAAGAAAAAGCAATAAACTATCAGTCAAAAAGTTTTTAAAAAAATAAAAAGGAATTAGAAAAATTTTTGTTTTGTTTTAAGCCAAAGGAACAACGAGGAAATTTTTGTGTCCAGAGAAAAAAAAATGCCAATAAGCGTGATTCAATGTTGACGGTCACAACAATCTAATGAATATTTATTAGGAACACAGGAACCACTTTTTTTTTTTCAGGCCTGATTTTCATGGCGTCCTCATCGCCAACACCTACGACGCGCCCAAAAGCCGGCGGCGCCATGAATCTTACCAGCTTAATCACAAACTGTTGTCCCAGGAGTGAAAGCTATTTTATTTTTTATTGTAATAACTGAGGATAGAAAAGAACTTTTTGTGAAAGCCAGTATGTTTCCGGAAGAAGAAAAAGCTGACAGACAAAAGAATAGGATGCAGGCTGAAGAATACATCACCCAAAAAAAAAAAAAAAAAAAAAAAAATTATTACGATCAAAGATGAAGAAACCTATCAAATTAACAATAAAAACCATAATAATAATTAAAATTACACGCACACACACACAATATATATATATATATATATATATATATATATATATATAAAGTGAACATAGAACACTTAGAGGCGACAGTCTGTTTCAGGCTATATGCAATCGTCAGGCCACGAGTGCTGTTATTTTTCTCGGTTATTTATATATATACGGGTCAGTGGTGCATTGTGGGTAGTCTATTTTGGCAGTTATTTTACCGGAAGTTGTTTATTTGTTTATTTATCTATTTGGGTTAAATTATTTTGCTTGTTTTTATTTATTTTTATTTTATTTTTTTTTCTTTATTTATTTAGTTTTTTATTTTTATTTATTTATTTAGTTTTTTTTATTATTTGTTATCTTATATATTTATTTATTTTTTAATCGGTGATTTTATTAACGTAGTAAAAATTTGTTTATATCGCTTATTTAATAGTTTTGTTTATGGTTTGATAACTTAAAGCTATTTATTTATATTTATATTTAGGGTTGATTGTTGTAGTTTATTCTAACTAATATATATATATGGTATAGCACGACAAGCTATATTACGGTTCCGTGTAGAATACAGGTTCGATTCCTGTCAGAGGATACATATTTTCTTTGAGATTTCTCGGACATTCAGGCCGGTAAATGTTTGGTGCTGACTAAAATGCCAATTTTTTATATATATATATATATATATATATATATATATATATATATATATAGTGTAACCGGATATAAGAGAGTTGTCGGGACCAGAGACGAATTCTCTTATATCCGGATTTGGTCTAATTTATATACATTAACACAGGCTCTAATTTGGGACCAGAGAAAATCTCTTTTATATCCGGGTTACACTGTATATATATATATATATATATATATATATATATATATCTTGTGGTACTCTTCTGCTCTTTTTCTCAGAAATCAAATATTCAAGAAATTTAAATATTAGGAATGAGTTCCCTTAAAGACTTTGGAATAATTCACAGAACCAGAAAGCCATCCATGGAATCTTTAAAAAAACGATGAAGCGAGTGTCTATTTGCTCAATTTCTCAATTGTTAATCCATTAAGCTTGAAGGTCACCAAAATTATTCCCTCTTTCCGCCATTGCCTTCAGCAGCCAAAATAAAACCAGCCGATCACAGAATTCCTATTTTTCCCGCCTTGTAAGGCCCTTCAATTCAATGCGATGCAATATTGGCTAGACAATATTTTCTCGATGTTATTATATTGTTGGAACATGTATTTGGCGGGTGGGTATGTGGATTGAAGTACAATCAGCATTCCTCCTCCTCCTAAGCCAAATCCTAAACTTCAAACTACCCGCCCCACTATGAGACACATTGAATGACTGTATGAAGATTGTTTACCGTGTTAGTGTGAAAGAGAGTCAGGCAAACAAAGAGAGAGAGAGAGAGAGACGGACAGGAAGAGAAGCGTAAAATAAATAAAGAGAAAGAAAAACTCACAGAGATAAAGAAAAACAAAAGATAGACAGAGAGAAAGAGAAAGATTCAGACAGACAAGGAGAGAGAGAGAGAGAGAAAACTGGAGAAAAAGGGAAAGATGGAAGAAGAATCGATAGGCTGAGAGAAAAAGGTTTGAAGAGGGGTTGAAAGGGAAAGAAAAAAAAGAAAGTGATAAAGACAATCGAGAAAAATGGGAAAAAAAAGAAAGAGATAAAAGCGAAAGAGAGAAGTAAAACTAGAAAGAAAAAAAAGAAAAACGTAAAAGAGAGGGAGAGGAAAAGACAGATAGAGAGAGAAAAACGTAAGAGACGGAAAAGGATATAAAAATTATTAGAAAGAAAGAAAAAGGAAAGGAGAAGGAGAAATGCGTCAGAGGAAGGAAACGAAGACAGAAGGAAAAAGAAAACGTAAAAGAGAAAAAGCGGATTAAAAAAAGCACGAGAAAGTAAAAGAAAGAAAAAATATGTAAGAGAGAAAGAGAAACAATAGAAAAGAAATAAGACAGAGAGAGAGAGAGAGAGAGAGAGGAGAACAGAAAGAAAAAGAAATATGACAAAATCTAAAAGAAAAGAGATATAGAAATGTGAATGAAAGAAAGAAAGAAAGAAAGAAACTGTGTAAGATAGAGTAATAAATAACCGCGAATAAGAGAGAGAGAGAGATAGAATAAGATGTAAATAGTGAGAGTAAAAAGAAAGAACGAAAAATATATATGTGAGAGAGATAAAGAAAAAACGGTATAAAATAAACAAACAGAAATAGAAAGGAAGAAAGAAGGAAGGAAGATGAAGAGACCAACAGAGACAAAGAGAGAATCCAACCAACTGAGGACAGAAAGAGTGTAGGGGACTGAAAGGGAAAGAGAGGGAATCGTGAGAACAGAATGAACTTAAATAGAGAGGACAAAGGCCGTAGAAGAGGTATAAATGAAAGGAATCGAGAATACAGAAGAAAAGTAAGTCTTGAAAAGGGCTGGGAAGGGAGATATATAATAGAGAAGGAAAGAGAGAAAGAGAAAGTAAAGTGCTGCCGGACACGAGTTGCAATTCCGGACGAGACGAAACGAAATGGGTTGCTCCATTCCCCCTTTTTGATGGATCCTCTTGCAATATGGTAATAGGGATGATTCGATCTTCTTTACGACAATTGAATTGGATACTGCTATCGGAGGCGAGGAATAAGTTTTCTAATTTCCACGACGGAGTGCCCGTTGTGTGCGCCATTAATCCAGCCCCTTATTATTCTTGGTCGTCGTCAGTCAATATTACCCAAACTCGAGCAGAGCGTTATTTCATTTGGATAGGTTGGCGACGACCCAACTATCTAACCCCGGCCGATTTTAGCTGCTTGGGCGTCATTCAAGTTCGCCTCTTGATATTCCGGTATTAAATTGAATTTAACTGGGGCTGGAAGGGTACGGAGTCGGGCGGTGGTGTTTGGGTTTGTGCGGAAGGTTTTCTTTCTCAATTAAAATGATTATCTACTCGCCATAACAGGAGATGAAATGCGGTTTTAATGCTTCGCTGTACGTCGAGAAAAACGGAAGATGGGCTGAAGGTCAGAACGAGGCTGATGGAAAAGTGCGGGAAAAAAAATGCGGAGAGCTGATTGGATTAGGAAGAAAAAAAAAAGTATGAGTTTGAATGGATTGAAAAGAAAGTTAGTGCTAACATCAGGAGAAACATAAGCATTAATAAAAAGTAGCCAAAACAAAAAATGATGATTAGAAATAAAGCCAGCCCCCAACCTCCGCACGCGGACACACACACACGCACACACAAACACCACCAGCACACGCAGATATCCAATCGAGAATAGAAAAGAATAGAACAATAAAAAAATATATATCTTGTGCAAGACATGGTTAAAAATGGCTTCGAGTGAATGAAGACTGTAGGACTGAGAAAAGATAAGTTTATTCTTCGAACTTTGTGGATTGGCGCTACATATTCACAAACGAAGAAACTTATCAAATAACAGAAACCCCAGCATATGACGTATTTATAAAACAGCAACTGTTAAAGGGATAGCTTATGTAACTCAAGAAGAAAATAGTGACATAATGAGAATCTTGAAGTTCAACACTATTTCAATTTACGAAGAAAGCTGCCATTAGTACTGGAAATAGAAATAACATTTCGTGAAGTCGAGAAAATCATTTTCCTGTAAAACTATTTTCATAGAAAGTAGCAATGGCTGCTCAGTCAATGAATACCGAATATTTCCTTGCAGGGAAATGGTTGATATTACCATTACCGTTCCCTTTCAGCTCTCGGCAATTTATTTATTTACTTACATTGCGCTTTTCTCCGACATTTTCCAAAATTGGTGGCATCATTCTTTTGGTCAATCAAACACACAGAGAGAGAGAGAGAGGTGGGGGGGAGGACACCGACAGATAGAGCCACATGGTGCGGTGACATTATGATACAAATTAGGCAAATTTGTAGAGGGAACAAATGAAATCATTACAGCGTCAATCGCCCAAAGAAATTGTGATGGAATCAGAGGCGCTATGAAATCTTCAAATATACGATGAACAACCAATAAAACGTGAAAAAATGGTAACACAGGAAAAAAAAAACAGGGAGAGACAAGAATAATTGATTAATTGATTTGTTTTTTGACGGCTTACCAACCTTTTACAGTTTATTTAAAACGAGAAAATATTTTTAGCTTGTAAGATTTTTTTTAGATTTTAATAATTTACTGATACAAGTCGATAGTTGGAAGAAGCTGAAGACTCATAATATCCCAAGTGTATTTGCGCGTATGTAAATCTAACGAATTGGAACTCGGCTCTCCAATTTCCAATTCCGAACCATTATCCATTATACCACCCGCATATTCAAGCTTACAGAACCTGGCATTTCCAAGCAGACACCCATCTAGGTACTGACCAGGCTCGACGTTGCTTAACGTCGGTGATCGTACGATAACCTGTGTTTCAACGTAATCTGATCGCAAACCGGAAGATAGGAATGGAGATCTCAGTGAGCGAAGGAAATAATAGACAAATTTCGCATTTTTATACTGTCACAACGTCCTGTGTCCCTAAAACTATCAGAGACACAGGAGCAGCACATGTATTGTCGCCATAACAGCATGTGTTTCTAGGGCAAGATAGCCTGACGGAGCTCAGCCACGCTTTGGCTTGTTTAGAATTCGCAGATTTTCTTTCTGGTTACCACCGCAAGGCAAAGATCTCGCTCAACTCGGCTGCTATTTAACCGATAGCTTTGGGCAGAAAAGATGGATTCGTGCGAAAGTGATCGTGACGGAACTCAGTCGTGATTCAAAATCGGTTCCCAGATTTCTCTTCCCAATTATAATACCTTCACATATCAGTAAAAGATTTGTCCTTAAAATGCGGCTTATGTTTCAACAACGATCCGTTTGATAAATTGATGATTTAAATATTTTTTCCAACGACATTCATTCAGGATTCGATTCTAAATGAGTAATTGGTAATTCTGGATTCTGTATTAGTATATACAGGGATTCATGAGCTTAGGTCATTTCCTGGAGTATCTGCACGAGTAAAACTTGATAAACAATCCAAAGACAATGCTATATCTGCATGCTTCTAAAAGAGGTGCAAAATGGTGACAAATTTGTGCCAAAAAAAATCCACTTGATTGTGGGTAGAAGTCTTCAAAGAACATCATATTTTTAAAAGATATATAAATTTAGAAATCGAATATTTGTTTTATTTCGCTTTTGTTTCTTCATTTTTATAATTTAAAGTGTTAAAATATCATTTCCATTGTTTTTATTTATATAATAAAAGCGAAAATAAACATAAAAACTAACGTTTAAAAATGAAATTTTTGTTATTTTATTGTCATTGTATTTTTGTTAGGAAACAAGCTTCTGTCTTATATATATATATATATATATATATATATATATATATATATATATATATATATATATCTCATTCTGGGACATTCAACTCGGGCGCTTAAAACTACGACCGAATCGGATAATGCACAATGCTTAAAGGACTTTCAGATGAAAATAAACGCATCGACTAAAACGAATTTTCCCTGTAAAGTCCATTGCATAACACAGAAAATGGTAAAAGGAAAAAGAAAAACAAGAATTTTCATTGGATTTCTAACCAAACGCCCTTTCGCCATTTTCTAAATGGCGTCTCTTACAAAGTACAAATATATATATATATATATATATATATATATAGCAAGACAGATCTGTTTTGAATTCTCGACAGATAGCTGGAAAATATTACTGTTGTTAAGATTTGACCTATGTAAACAGCAGCGAAAGTCACGTTTTTATATTGTCGTCAAGAGCAATAATAAATTTTGGAAGATATCGGAGGTAAAGAGACTAGGAAGCAAATAAAAAAGAAAAAACAACTTCCTAAATATTGGCCATCTCTCAAGTTCATTTCACTTTAACATATTTCGTTCGATCCGAACTGGGTGCCCTGTTCTTGTGGCATTTTCTCTGATTAAGCGAGGCTCATAAATAAGTATACTTGCAATGAATAAATCTATCGTAAGCTAATGTTAGCCTAATGCGATGGCTAACGGCTCGTTTGCGTGCGTGTCTGTCTATTAGGAATATTAATTAGACCCTGTTCTAGACGTCTACTCAGGCACATATGTGTTTCTTGAAGACCTCCATAGTCCACCTGTGGTTTATACGGCCTCTATACTGAACAAAAGAGAACGCATGTTTCGTCACAAAAGAGTTCTTAGAAAACTAGTCACTTATAGCATTAGTGAGTTTAGACCGTAAGGTGTTCTTTATTTGACCAAGATAAGCTTGATATTAAAAGTGGGCCAAAATTACCAGCCAAAAAACCAGCCTTCAACTGTAACTTCATTCACGACTTCTTAATTTAAACCGCGTAAAATACACGAGTCTAACTTGGCCCACGACTACAAAAGCGGTGGTTCGTTATACAAGATCAAATTTTCGGGCAATTCTTGTTTTCTCTTATTACACATAGCAATCTGGCAAAATGGCGTCTGACATGAATGTGAGTACGAAGTGCATTCATGCCATTGATTTTCTTCATGCAGAAAAACACTGACAATCATCAACGCCCTGGACATTTAAGGAGACCAAATATATTAAGGCGACCACAGTTAAGTGATGGATAATACGCTTTAGCAGTCGTGACAGAGATGTGTACGACAAGCCACGTTCTGAGCTCTTGCTTTTGTTTCTCGCTGGCGAAAATGCGCACCCAATGCTGGTGACTGTGGAAAAAAAAATAGTGGGTTGTAATTTTTCCTAAGGTGCTATTGTGCACCATTTATCTGTGGTAGTTCCTGTGGAAATAAATAGGAGGCTTTCTTTTCGGGGCGTCTCTCGCTTATCAATGACAAAGAAGCTCGTTATCTTTCAGTGGATTGGTGATTTCACTCAAGATAAGGGTTTAGGGACAGAGGAACAGAAATGGCTAGTCAGAAATCAAAGAGCCAGAAAGTTGATGGGGGGTCCGGGAGAAGGTGTTTGGTCTGAAAGAACTGATGGATTAACGTCAAGTCTAATCAGCCAAAAGCTGGATTTTGATCCGGATTCTATGGCTTTTGCTATGGTGTTTTTCTCCCAGCTTCAGGCCAGTGATCGGTTCGGTCGTGTTTCATTTTGTCTGCTGTACAGAAATATGATGTTTGTTCGAATTCGATTACCGACTAACGCAATGGCATTGGTTGATTGATTTAGACAAGTATTTTTGGGACAGGAACAAAGGAAAGAGAGGAAGAAACAAAAGATGGTGGTTGTAGTAAGACGGCAATGGGGAGAAGTGATTAGCGAATAAACCAGATAGAGAAAGAGAGGAAATAAAAGAAAAAGAAAAGAGACGAAAGAAGATTATCAGGAAAAGGGGGCGATTGAGGAAAGAGAGATTAGACAAAAAGGAAACTATAAAGAAAGACATAAAAGAGAAGAAAAAAAGACAGGCAAAGTAAAAAGAGAGACAAGAAAAAGAGTGAAATAGAGAGAAACTATAGAAAGAAAGAACAGTGTATATATATATATATATATATATATATATAAGAGTGAGATCGAGAGGGAAATAAAAGAGAGAGAGAGAGTGAGATCGAGAGGGAAATAAAAGAGAGAGTGTGATCGAGAGGGAAATAAAAGCGAGAGAGTTAGAAACGAGAGGGAAATAAAAGAGAAAGAGAATGAGAAACGAGGGGGAAATAAAAGAGAGACAGAGACGCGAGAGAGAAATAAAAGAGTGAGAGAGAGACTCGAAAGGGAAATAAAAGAGAGAGAGACTCGAGAGAGAAATAAAAGAGTGAGAGACTCGAGAGGAAAAAAAGAGAGAGAGTGAGAGACTCGAGAGGAAAAAAAGAGAGAGAGGAGAGACTCGAGGAAAAAAAGAGAGAGAGAGTGAGAGACACGAGAGGAAAAAGAGAGGAGAGAGAGGAGAGAGAGAGGAAAAAGAGAGAGAGAGTGAGAGACTCGAGAGGAAAAAAAGAGAGAGAGAGTGAGAGACTGAGAGGAAAAAAGAGAGAGAGAGAGGAGAGACCTGAGAGGAAAAAAAAGAGAGAGAGTGAGACTCTGAGAGGAAAAAGAGAGAGAGGAGAGACTCGAGAGGAAAAAAAAGAGAGAGAGGAGAGACTCGAGAGGAAAAAAAAAAAGAGAGAGGAGAGACTCGAGAGGAAAAAAGAGAGAGAGGAGAGACGAGAGGAAAAAAAAGAGAGAGAGAGAGACTCTGAGAGGAAAAAAAAGAGAGAGAGTGAGAGACTCGAGAGGAAAAAAAGAGAGAGGAGAGACTGAGAGGAAAAAAAAGAGAGAGAAAGAGACTCGAGAGGAAAAAAAAAGAGAGAGAGTGAGAGACTCGAGAGGAAAAAAAAGAGAGAGTGAGACTCTGAGAGGAAAAAAGAGAGAGAGAGTGAGAGACTCGAGAGGAAAAAAGAGAGAGAGAGTGAGAGACTCGAGAGGAAAAAAAGAGAGAGAGTGAGAGACTCGAGAGGAAAAAAAAAGAGAGAGAGTGAGAGACTCGAGAGGAAAAAAAAGAGAGAGAGTGAGAGACTCGAGAGGAAAAAAAAGAGAGAGAGTGAGAGACTCGAGAGGAAAATAAAAGAGAGAGAGACTCGAAAGGGAAATAAAAGAGAGGGAAAATAGAGAGGGCAATAAAAGAGTGAGAGAGACTCGAGAGTGATATAAAAGAGAGAGAGACTAGAGAGATATATATAAAAGAGAGACTCGAGAGGGAGATATATAAAAGAGAGACTCGAGAGAGATATATAAAAGAGAGAGAAAAGAGAAAGACAGAAAAGACTTGTGAAAGAAAGAAAAGAAAAAGACTCGAGAATGAAGGAATATCCGAGGAAGAAAAGAAAGATACTCAAGAAAACAGTGGAAAAGTGGAAGAAAAAAGAAACGATAAAGACGGGAAAATGATAATAAAAACAGAGACAAAAAAAAGAAAGAAATTTGCGGAAAATGGCATAAAAGAGACAAACAGAGGAACGTGAAGATAGCAAGAAAGTGACTAGGAAAAAAGAACTACAGAAAAGAGGCAATACAAAATGGCGAGGATAAAGAAAGAGACAAAAAAGAAACGAGAAAAAAGAAAAGGACGAGGCAAAATGATACAATAAAAAGAAAGAGATAAAACGAAAAGAAAAACGAAAGAAAGAAACAATAAAGTTAATATCAGAAAAGGTAAAAGAGAGGATAAATACAGAAATCAACTACAAGAATAAGAGAGAAAGATAAAAAAAATGAGAGATAAAAATAAAAAAGCAGAAAGAAGTAGAATCAAAGATAAAATAATAATTTAAGAGAGATAGAATGAAATGAGATAGAAATAGAGAGATTGTTGAACAAGCAGAAAAATACCGCAGACAAAAATGGTAATAATAGTAGTAATAAACAACAACAAAAATAATGGCGCCGAGATACACCAATGTTATTCGCCATACTTTTTTCTTCGATATCCAATCCAGGAACCAATTCGCTTTGGCTCTAACGACGAACACTAAAGATTTATCGAACGGCCATTGATCAGAACTTCTTTTCATCTTAAACAACAAGAACCCGCAAAAAACAAAAAAGAAATAACAAGTCAAACATTTATTGTCTTGGCCGATTTAGTCCATTGTTGGCCTTCGTAGATTTCAAGTGTTTTCATTAGTCAAAAATCTTTCAAGCGATTCAAGACTGTGTCGTTTTCAATTTGGAAAGCCTGGGGTCTAAATCATTACGCCCGCCAGAATTCTGTGAAAAGGAAGTCAACCCTTTGGTTTTACCCCATTTCCACCACACCCAACTATTAAAATAGAAATAAAAAGAAAGTGACAGAGAAGGAAAAGAGCGTATAATAAATTCATTGTTTTTACAATGAAGCCAAGGAGACGGACAGATAGACCGAGCAATAAATTGGTAAACTTCTCAGCTTTGTTTGGGAGTTTCGGTCTGTCCCTCTGATCCCGGCTCTCTTGACCCCGCCGCGTATTTGAGGCGATGTGGAGGAAGAACATTGGCGAATAGATATGGGTGGAAAATCAAAGACAAAAATCAAAAATGGTTAACATCGGCTAGTGAACCTCATTGCGAAACCCGCATCTCATACAACTATGATATTCGGTGAAAAGAAAAAAAAAAAAAGATTAAATAGAAAAAAAAAAGAAATGATTACATTTATTTTTATTGAAGAGCAGAGGGGTTGTTTATATCGTAACAGTGATTCGTTTCCTTTTGTTTCCTTTCAGCGTTTGTTTCTGGCATATTGAAACCAAAATGGCTGAGTCGACATTATGTTGAGCACCAACCACGCGTCCTTTAGCAATATTAACGTTATTTTATTTATACATTTAACGTTTAAACATTAAGGTATTATATATATATATATATATATATATATGAAGCGATCGGATGTTTAGCCACACTGAGGAACTGTGATACAGTGAAACAGTCTGTCTGTGGATGACGATATATATATATATATATATATATATATATATATATATATATATTCTTTGTTTAAAAATATGATTCCTTCGCTACATAAGAGTTCTCATGTTTCAAAAATGAGAGCCGAAATCATTCAAATAATTATTAAAATTAGGTTGAATTGAGGTGTTTAGTCTGGTTTCATCTTCAAGCGAAATTTTAGGAATAAGCTATCTTTTGGTTTACGTGTGTTTTTAGGCATGGTCCGTCATAACATTCGTTATTGTGGGAGTGGCCAGGCCATTTTACTTCGTTAAGTGATCAGAGAGTTAACTCTTATCTATAGATTCATCATCTTCTGAAAGGTTTTGCTAAGGTTGGGTAGGATATCTATTTCAAGGCTAATATTGGCGGTCATAAAAGATAGGATAGAGTGAAGGATGTGCTTTCATGCTCACCCCGATAGTTATGATCCAATTTTTCCGTGATACAATATCTGAAAAAATGATCATGTCAGTACTGAAGCATGAAAAGAAATAAAAAAAAAACAAATAATTATTGCATAAGATAAACGATATGTCTTTTACAGTCTTTAAGGAGTAAGACAAAAAGATCTTCATCAGTCACATGAACAGAATTTTGAATTGCCGTATTACATGTTACTATCGGCTGGTCTGATACAAACACAATGTATATATATATATATATATATATATATATATATATATATAGAGAGAGAGAGAGAGAGAGAGAGAGATGACGAGAAATATGACGATATTTTGAAAAATTTGAACAGAATTTGATAAGCCTATTTTTCATACGCAAATAAATGCATATATATATATATATATATATATATATATATATATATATATATATGTGTGTGTGTGTGTGTGTGTGTGTGTACGTGTATATACATATGTCCATTTGCTTTATTTTATTCATTTGTATATACACACACACATATATATATATCTATATATTTTATATTTATTTATGTATATTTATAAATATGTACACGTATATATATTGTGTATGAGCATGTATGCGTGTGTCTGTGCAGCTTAAATCTGAGTCAGTTGTCTGGTTATCGTAAGTCCTATACATTATATTAGCTACAGATGGAATATAGTGACTTTCTGCCAAACAAAATAAAAATATATATATATATATATATATATATATATATATATATATCATAAGGGTTGTTTAAAACAGAAATGACAAAATCATGGCAGGTATCTTGTCACAATTTTTCAAAACCTCCCATGAGAAATTAAAATCCTTCCAAGAAGATTGATATGATTACCAGAAAGAATTGCCCAACCCCCGTTTCAATTCCCACCCCCCACCACCACTACTACCACTTCTATGTTCTGTCAGTTCTTTGGACTTCATTTCACTCATCTCCCCACCTTATAACCTTTCTTATAATGTAGTTTCTATTACATCTTTCTTTCTCTTTTCTTTTTTTTTTAATTCGACCCTTCCTTTTTTAATGTTCTTGATTTTGCTTTGGCTTGAACGTTTTGATTTTTTTTCTTCCTTTTTGGGGGGGGGATTTCTTTTTTTCTCATTCTTTTTCGTTTTGGAGAGTCTTTTCCCGTTATGGTTTCTTCTTCGTTTATTTTTTTTTTTTTTTTCCTTCTCTTTTCTTTCTCTTTCAATTCGTCTTTATTTGATGATCGCTTTTCATTTTTTCGATTTTTCTTCTTATTACAATTTTTTCTTCTTTCCAATATTTTTTTTAAATTTAATTTTTTTTTTTCATTTGTTTATTATTTCTTCCTGATTCGTTTTATATTGTTGTTCATCCTTATTTTTTCTTTCATTCTTTTTTTTTTTTTTCGATTTATTTGTCTCCATTTGTTGACTTTTACTTTCTCTTTTGTCCTTTCATTTTCTTTACTTTTCGTTCAATAATTCTTTCATCATTTTTTTTTCTTCATTCGATTTTTATTTCATTTTTAAATCATTTCTTCTCGACTCATTTAAATTTTCTCTTTATTTCAGTCATTTTTCTTTTTTCCTTTCATTTGTTAATTTTCATTAATTTCTTTTTGTTTGTTTTGAAAAATACTTTTAAACTCATTCCTCGGCGCTTTAACTTTCCTCGTTTAAATATATATTACTATTCGCATAGTACCCATCAAATATGATCTAATTGTTTACGAATGGATCACTATTTTTTTCTTTTTTTTTTTTTTTTTTTTACTTAGGCAATTTACTCTCAACGATTAGAATAGCCTTGTCTTGGAAATTCCAACCATACAGTATCCCCCCACTAATAAACTAATGAGTGAAGGATTCTGATGCTAGTTTTACAGTAGTCGCAGTGATTTGCCAGTTATTTTATTTATTTTTTGTTTTGTCCGGGTACGCGTGTAGAAACTCCAGCCACCAACCATTAAACAATCCACATGTTGATTTTACCTTCGTTTTGTTCTGTATGTATAACTTTAAATCCACCATGAGTCACACCCTAACACAGTGGCGACGGGTAGAAATAGCAGATCAGTGTGTAGAATATGCTCGCTCCACAGAAAAAGTTACACACGCGCAAAATATAGTTGTATATGAATGAACATTGCGTCTTAGATATTCGAATTCTTTTTTTTTATTCACTTTTGTTTAAGGTCTTTCAGCCTTCCTTCCAAAACTGTTTTTTTTTTCCTTAACTTTCATTCATTGACATTTTTTCTTATTCCTTTTTTTTTTTTAATTCTTTAATTTGAATCTGCCATCAATTCATATAACATGGCTCCATCGTTTCTCCCTTTCTAATTCTTTCTACCCTCCTTCCAATTGGTCGTTTTGACACGTTTCGTCCTTGACAAGGCGTCCATATTAGAACTTGACAAGCAATGTAAAGGAACCTCCAAAACACCCCCCGATATATATATATATATATATATATATATATATATATATATATATATATATATATATATATATATGTGTGTGTGTGTGTGTGTGTGTGAGAGAGAGAACAAGAGAAGACAAAAATAGTTAGAGATTAATACATGCTAGACACTACAATCCCCAACCACCCTCGGAGTGTAATATGACCACGACGATTCCATCAGCGCGTAGCCTCGGCTCTCTTCTCTTTCCAGGTTTTTCTTTCCGATCTCATTTCCGCCTGTAGATAATAACTTGTCAACAGCTAAAATGTGAACATTTTTGTGGGTGTGATCTTGTATGGATAAGAAACTCGTTTGCAAGAATCAAATATAGATTACAGAATCTGGTAGAAAAAGAAATACGTACTTGCTGCGACAGTAAAAAAACAAAAAAAAAGAAACTACATCATTTCAGAAATAATATCTTCATCTTGATTGTTTTGATTACTTAGTTTCTGGTGATTCTTTCATTGGTCTTCTTGTATTGTTCGGAATTCTAAAACCTCCATCCTTTCATGAATTATGAAGGCTAATATCCTAATCATTGTTTGTTTAATGATCGCAACGTTTTTATTATATATCCATTTATTCTCCACCAGCTATGTGTTGAATAGCAAGACAAACTGGATCCTATAGCCTTCGTTGGAAACCAGTCTACCACATAAAGAAACGGCAACCTTCTGCGGGAAGTTTTTCTGTCTTGTCAGTCAGGAATCGAAAGAGACATGGTTGCTCAAGCGTGTATCGCGTATGGTAGTTAAATAGCTGACAGACTGTTGTTCCAAGATGGCGAAGAACTAGAACATCGTGGACGAATCATTGCTTTTATTGTTTAAATTGTTCACACCAGCAAAGCCATATTCATTATTTCGATTAAGTTTCAACTGGTGTGACCTTCGGCTCTCTTGATTTTTGGAAACATTTTGGGGGAAAAAAGAAGACAAAGACGGGGATACTGACACGAATGATTGGGAACCCGCTTTCGTATAGACAAGGGCTAACGGTAGGGCAAAGTTTGTTCATAGGATTCTATCAGCTCAGAAACGGAAAATCGCGAAATACGCGTTAATATCTGTGAAATCAAGACCCCCCACCAAAAAAAAAGGAGACGACAGTCGTCGGGATCATCGAGTCAATTAGCTGTATAATATGTGCAGTAAGAGAGGGTCGTTTTTAATATTGCATAGTATGTGCTTCGCCAGGGCTATTATACAGTTTTGAATTTAGATTTTTTTCTTCTCTTAGACTGGCTGCTAACCAAGGCGATAGGACACAGTCTGTCCCTAAGAGAAGATGAGATGGATTCATACCTTTGGCAAGGTAAGCGAATGTAATGAACTCAACCATCATTCGAACTCGGCTCCACGACTACAAAGTCCGAGCCATTACTACACTGTGCCACAAGACTAAAACTTCCGGAATATTACCGAATAAATATCAGCAACATTTGCGTTCGTGATATCTGATAGGAGGAGGCACGGTGAAGTAATGGATCGGCTCAGGATTGAGAAATCGGAGAGCCAAGTTCGAATTCCAGTCGAATCCATTACATTCACTTACGTGCTAATACCCTTGGGAAAGGTATGAATCCTCTCTTTCTCCCCCCAGCTATGGGTAAACAGCAAGACAGACTGTTCTATAGCCTTGGATGGCAATTGGTCTACCGCAGAAAGAAATGGCAACCTACTGCGGGAAAATATCTGCCTCGTCAGTCATGTATCGAAAGATACATGATCGCCTAAGCGTGTATCACGCATGGCGCATAACTGACTGACTGGTATCCGATGGTCGTCACTGGGGACAAATTGAAAGCAAATCGAAAAATCTACGTCTTCTCGCTTATTTGCTTCCATACAATCTGTGGTTGCGTGGCCAATTGGCTGGCACATTAGGTACTAGAGCCTCTTATTTTCTTAATTTCTTCAACATTCCCTGACTTCTGCTTCGACAGTATTTGCTTAAATGTTCAACTATTTGCACAGTTTCCAGTGTCTGAATGTTCCTGCTCTGTCAAGCATACCTTTACATTCATTTTGAGCTAACAGTGGTGCTTATTTATAGGATTTGCTGCTTTTTCTACTTTTTTCATCGTTTCACCCGCAAGCGAGCCGGTAATCCCACTAAAACGCAGGGGGTGATTAGATGGTGTGAAAGAGAATGAGAAGACTTTAGTGAGAAGGGAAAAATGGACAATAAAAAAACCGGTTTCAGGAAGAGAGAAGATGGCAATTAGAGTTGCATTTAAACTTTTGAAGGTCGTAGGTGGCTTTCATGTACTTGATAAAGAGTAACGGTAAAAATATTCTTTTTTTTCCTTTTAAGGTGTCCTCAGCGTAACCATGTCTTTGATGGTGTCTCTCTTATTAATAAAATGAGGATTATTCTATTTTATTTGTTTAAATGGCTGTTTGTTGTTGTTTTCATTGTCAGCATTGTAAAGAAATGACGCGTAAGATAATGCTTTCCAGTTAGTCAAACTCCAGCTGTCACATAATGTTGACAACTAGGCTTTAATTGGTTGCTGCGTCGCTGGAGAAGGGGGCTTGACGTGAGATTGTGGGGAAAGAAAGAGGTAAGGAACAAACGATGGAAGAAGAGATGAAAAATCGTAGCAGTTTGTCCTTTGTTCCTGGATGAGGTGAGAGAGTGAGTGAGCGAGTCAGCAAAGGAGAGAGAGAGAGAGAGAGAGAGAGAGAAAGATTGATCCACGTGCGCGCACTTCTCACTTCATCTAATTTATCCTCCATACCGCCCAATTTTAAGTCTGCCTGATTTCACAGGCGCAGGTCGCGACGACGCGAAAGATGGCTATTCTTTTTGTTACATTCAGATGTCTACAAACCTCGTTTGGCGAAGAAATCTATTTATCTTAATCTGGTATTTCCAATCTATCTTTCGATATCTCTCTATCTCTATCTATCTATCTATCTATCTATCAGTCGATATCTACCTTATCTGTCGATATACCACAAAGGAGGAGATGGAAAGATCTAGGCGCGATCAAGAAGTTCTTGGCATATACAGATAAAAAACAGATATATTATATATATATATATATATACCCTAGTATAGGATTGGTGTGGACAGAATAAATTCCAATAAACAAAAATACTATTCTTAAAGAGTGCTCAATACAGAGTAGAGCAAATATTATTCATTCAAAAATTATAACATAAACATGTTATAACCTCAGTAAAAAAAAGTCACCATTTTGTTTCAACACTTCCGGTGTCTTATCAATGATGGTGTTGAATGTATCTTTATTCTACATTCATCACCATCATATGTTTATGCTATAATTTTTTAATAAATAATTATATATATATATATATATATATATATATATATATATATATATATATATATATATGTGTGTGTGTGTGTGTGTGTGTGATTTATTTATTTTATTTTTTGCTCTACTTAGTGTATTGAGTACTCTTCGTTTTAACTTATTACTCTCTGTTTTTTTTTTTTCCTTTGTAGCAGAAATGTAAGGTACTGGACGATTTCTTTCGCCGTGTTTGGAATTTCTGGTGCTTTTGCTTTTTTTCCTGGCAATTTTTTCCTATCCGGATGCCAAGTTTTTATTTGGGATCAGATGATAGATATGAAGTGAATGGGATTGATTTTTTACTAGACCCATAGATAGTTTAAATATAGAATGGGATTTCATGAATGAAATCATGATAGATAGATAGATAGATAGATAGATAGATATGAAGTGAATGGGATTGATCAGATATGAAATGATGATAGATAGATTTACTAGATAGATAGACAGATATATAGATAGATAGATAGATAGATATGAAGTGAATGGGATTGATCAGATATGAAATGATATAGATAGATAGATAGATAGATATGAAATGAATGGGATTGATCAGATATGAAATGATAGATAGATAGATAGATAGAAATGAAGATCAGATATGAAATGATGAAAATGGATTGAATGGGATTGATCGATATGAAATGAAATAGATAGATAGATAGATAGATAGATAGAATGGGATTGATCAGATATGAAATGATGAAATGAATGGGATGGGATCAGATATGAAAATAGATAGATAATAGATAGATAGATAGATAGATAGATAGATAGATAGATATGAAATGAATGGGATTGATCAGATATGAAATGATGATAGATAGATAGATAGATAGATAGATAATCTTCGAATGGGTGGACTTCTGATTGTTATATCGTTCTTCTCGATAGAAGACTCGACGAAGTGTACATTAATCTAGTCCCCTATTTATGGATTGCCATGCGGTGTTTGGGGCATCGGTCAAGCTATTAAATACAATCGCTTTCAATGGAGCTACTTGTTTCATTTGCACAATGAAAATATCTCAATCATTAGTAAAAGCCGTTATTATGACAAGGCCTTTCACCACACAAACAGGAAAAAAACCTTTCTCGTTATTCTGAACGTTTGTTTTTAATATGGCTGCCGCTAATTTCATAAATTCTCTGCCTGCAACGACTATGAAATATCTTCATTAAAAAGAGGAAAGAAATGAAACTGATTTCGATTCTCTGTCGTATAGTTTAATAAGATGTATTTGTTAATCGAAACGTTAGTGCTATTGGTATTAAAAAAAGCGGGAAGAAAGGCATAAATAATTCAATTAGAAGGGAAAAATGCATAGCAGGTATGAGACTAATATAAAAAAAAAGGAAAGGAAAGGTGTGGAAAAGAGGGTGGAAACGAATTGAAGCCGGGGAGAAAGTGATGGGAAATAAAGTGGATCAAGATTATGTAAAAGAGACGGAACTAGAAAAAGATGTGGAAAATGAAAACGAGACAAGAAAGAAAAGAAAAGAGGAAAAAAGGAAAGAGGATTAAGTAAAGGGAGACAAGGAAATAGAGAGAAGTTCAGTGAGACAAAAAAGAAAAGAAAATGGTGGTAAAAATATAAAGCAGAAAAGAAAGACGAAAACAGACCAAAGAGGAACTGAAAGGAGGCGGTGATAAGAAAAGCAAATGTGGAGACAAATAATAAAGAAGAGGAGAAAGAAATAAAGTGGCAAGACAAGGGGAGGAGAATGAGAAAGAAAGACGGGAGAGATAAGCGGCTAGGAAAGAGAGAAAAAAAAAGGAATAGTAAAAGGAGTCATTTGAAATAGCACTCAAGAAGTGAGGGGAAGAAAAAATGGCGGAGATGAGAGAAGAGAGAAAAGAAAGAAGGAAAAGGAGTAACTGAAGGAAGGGAGAAAGCAAAAATGGAAGTAAAAAAAAATGAGAAAATAGAGGAAATAGAATGTAAATAAGGAAAAAAGAGAAAATAAATTAAAATGGAGGGGTAAGTATAGAAGAAGGAGGAGAAAGAAGAAGGAGGAGAGAGAAGTGACGAACAAGAGGAAAGAAAGGTCTAACAAGAGGAGGGAAGAGAAGAAAAAAACAATTGAAAGGAAAAGAGGAAAGTGAAATAAAAAAGAAACATGAGGAAATGACGATGAGCAATGCAAAATGAACGAGTGAGGAAATGTAAAAAAAGAAGGAGAAAAAGAGAGGAAGAGTGTAAAATAAAGGAGAATTAGAAAGAAAGAAAGAAAGAAAGAAAGAAAGAAATCGGGAAAGAGGGATTTAAAAAAAAGACGAAAGGTGAGGGAAAGAAAAGGTAACTGGGGAAAAAAGAGATTGGGATGAAATGAAAAAAGGAAAAGAATCGGAAGGTGAGAACAAAAAGAGAGGGTCGTAAAATGGAGGAAGGGTGAAAAAGAGAGAATGGAAAAGAAAAGAAGGAAGGGATGAGAAAGTTAAAGAAAATAAAAAAGATATAAAATAATAGAGGAATAAGAAAAGAAAAAAAAAGGAAAATGTGACTAAAAAAGAGACTACTTGTCGATGATTAATATTACTGTCATTATTGCTAAAAACATCCACTGTTTTTATCCATGGGCAGATACTTTTACCGTTTTTGAAAGAAAAATCTCACCTATCTCACTCTCTCTCTCTCTCTCTTTCTCTCTTTTCAGTGTTCTCTCTCTTTTCAATGTTCTCTCTTTTTTTTACCCTCAGCTTATCTCCCCTTACCAATGACATTCTTTTGTAAAGAAAGGTTTATTTAGTTTTCTGCCTTTCAGTTTTTCTCCTCCTACCAATCATAATGCTTTCTATGCATCTCCCGACCCAATTAACCCCTTAATAATGTCGAAGCGCGCTGCGGGAGTCAAAAGAAAAAAAAGGAAAAAGAAAATAATCAAGCCGTTAGTTCGATAACATACACGCCTTCGAATTGAGGGCAGGAAGAGGGGTTGATAGAACTAATTTCGTATTCAGCTGAAATAAACTGCCTAACCACTGGTCTTAATTTGTATCGGTCGTTCTTAATTCAATTTGTGCTAATCGATCGACATTAACTAAATATCAGAGATACTTTCTTATTCAATATCATTTTGAAATTGATAGAGATGTAAACGACTGGGTGTTCAGAGAAATTTCTTCATTGTCTGCTTTAAATATTCATACAGAGACACACTGTCTCAATATCTTCTGCTATGTGCCATGTCCGTTCAGGACTCTCTGCATTTCCTGTATTTTGTAGCCATATATATATATATATATATATATATATATATATGAATCATATCTTCATTCAAATTTGTTTCATTGAATAATATAGATATATTGTGTTTACTTATTTTTATACTGATTCTTTCCAGTTTCTAATCAGTTTCTTAATATTAAGATGAAATTAATCAAGGAAGGAGCCGTATTTTTTTTAACCCGAGTACTTTCGATCTTTCTTAAAATAATCTTCAAGGATAAATTGCAAAGACAAACTTATTGTAACTGCGATAAACACCTCGAGAAGTCATTCGGTAGTTGCAAATTGGATATTCCATTATTTTTTTAAAGTATGTGCAAACTAGTTTAATTATAATATTCAAATATTACACATTTATATATATATATATATATATATATATATATATATATATATATAGAGAGAGAGAGAGAGAGAGAGAGGGGAGAGAAACAGGTAAGGCATAAAAATTCACATAATACGGTAATATTTCAATGCTATTTTCAGATCTTGCTTTCAAGATCGCATTAAAACTGATAATGCAGTGTCGATTGCTATCTCTACACGGTGTCTCTGATATTGAACACTCTTCTCATATATATATATATATATATATATATACACATATATATATATATATATATGTTTTGAACAATAAAAAATATTAAAAAAGTTAAATCTTCAAACACACTGGGTTGTATGTTGATATTCTTTCGGTTTTATTATTTCAATTAAATTCCTCGACTTGTTTCGGCCAGCATGGCCATCATCAGGGTAAAAAAAATAATTCTGCTTGTTAGTAGCAGTGAACTACAGAAATGATGAAGAAAATGAACTTTATTTGTAGTTTTCATTTGTTTTTTTTAATTTTTTAAACATGAATATGTTGGTCAAACAGTCTCTTTTAAGTTGATATTTAAGGGCTGGATCGATTCATGCTGCTCTGAATTCCCTTGATCATTTTGACAGTTTTATTGGTTCCTGGGGATGTGTGTCTGTTATGTGTGTGTGTTATTTGGTTTCTAGGGTGTGAGTGACTATGATGTGTGTAACTGTATATATATATATATATATATATATATATATATATATATATATAGCACAATGAGAAGCCACGTATACTTTCTTAATATGTATATATAGAAAAAGTTGCAAATTAAAAAATTAATAATGGTTTTATGAAAGTATTTATTTATTTATATATATATATATTTGATATTTCAGAAATAACTGTTTGTTACAAATAAATTAAAATTTCTGTAATTTATTTGTAACAAACAGTTATTCCTGAAGAAAGATTGAGGTCAATCTGAAATATCAAATATATATATATAAATAATAAATACTTTCATAAAAAACATTATTAGTTTTTAATTTGCAACTTTATATATATATATATATATATATATATATAGGATAAAGATACAAATTGGAATGCACCCTATATATATATATATATATATATATATATATATATATAGTGTATTCCAAGTTGTTTTTATCCTCCAACATCATAAATGAGAATATTTTCAGAATTTTTTTTTTACAATTTTGTGCTTTATAGAATTATATTTTCTTTCTCTTGATTTATATTAGGCTCTTCGTTTCTTCTATAAAAAAAATCAGTTCTTCACATTTATGTTTCTTGAAGTCACCTACACCCACAGAAATAAAACTATTGTATTTTATTTTAGAAATTTGATTCGAGACGCGAACCGAAGATTTCCCAACTGATTACATCTCGAAGGTAAAAATATTTTATGAAATTCAAGACGTTTCATAATGACAGTAAAAATGTACCCGACATGCTGCTGGTTAGCTAGTCCATTTGATGTAAATGCATAATTAAATTCACTCAACACCTTTTAGCAAACTGAAGTAAATAGTACGTATAACGAAGAAATGTTTATTTTGCTATCCTTCTTGTCGATAAAACATTTATGAGTATCATTATACAAGTTCATCAATCTATCTTTGTCAGCGCGAGGAAAAGCAAAAAAAACAAAAACATTTCATTTGTTTCTGGTAAGTCAACAGTGAAAAAATTCTAGGAATAGCAAAAAAAACGTTTTGGATATAAAAAAAAATATTTTTCTTGTCTGGATATTTATAATAAAAATATTGTAGTCTTACACACAATGGTTGCAAAACGTAATTGTTAGTATTAATAGAATAAGATATTCTTGATGAAAACGAATAAGAGTAAAAACAACTTATAATAAATTGAGCAATAAGAAATAGAGTAAAATTTATACAAAGCCTTTTCCGATAAGAAATAAAAAAAATGCAATAAAACTAGTAATAAAATCTTATTAGTAGCCACAGGATTTAGAATTAGTTCATTTTTCTTCACCGTCTGTAAGATTAAAAATGAATTGTTATCTTACTTGGTACGCTTCCGTTGTAGCCAGTGGGAGGGACCAGAGGTGATACGCCAACCGTTGAACTGGAATAAATTTGGCTTGTACTGTACGTGGTTGCAGGAGCTGCAAAATAAAGATGACAGCCATTAGAAAATAGGAGTAACATTTTAGTTAAAAATATAAAACTTATTCGTATAGCACGAACTATGAAAGACAAATATATTTTTTTTTAAATCCTCCAATTTTGATGTTATCATCAAGATAAAAATTTAATGCGAAAAAAAAAAACATTGCAATTAAATATTCATCGTTTTATCTTATAATCCATTGAGAGTGATCGAGATATTTATTAAATCCTCTAAAACTAGGACCTTGGAGCAAAATTGGTCTCTTACATTGATTGAATCCGTTTTAAAAATATGTCCAATGTACTTTGGTAAATCGCGCCGTTTAAGAGTTTCTGCCATTTTGGTACTGGCAAATATCATTATATAATATATTTTCACAGAATGCTTACCGGTGATGGGAGATGAAGATAATGTTTCTACATTTCATATTACGGATGACCAAACGAGCATAACAGGAGAAATATCTATCACTACATGATAATTAACCAAAGCTGAACCAGTTAGTAGAAATTTTTCACCAGTCATACAGACAAACTGTGAATGGCCAGAATACATACAACACCAAGTGGCGACAGTCAGTTTCATGCTTGAACGCAATCTTCAAGCCATGACCGGAATACACATGGCCTGTAGATTACGTTCAAGCATGGAAGAGACTGTCGCCTTTTGGTGTTCATTGTTCGCTTTTATATTTACATACGCTCTATCTCTGATATTGAGCACATATACTGATAAATATAGCATACCTTAAAATTATATTTTTTACCATATATATATATATATATATATATATATATATATATATATATATATATATATATATATATAGGAATGAATTTTTTATTTATTAATCCGACAGATCTCATTAGAAAAATATCTTGCCGTTGAGCACATATTTTTTTTTAAATATTATTTCTTGAATATTGAGGCCGGTAGACGAAAATAGATACTGTTTAATAAATAAATGGAGCGTCTACTCAAATATGAGTATCCACTAAAAATAAGTAATATATATATATATATATATATATATATATATATATAGGTAGATAGATAGATATTTGGGCAGCAACCTTTCTTTCAAATATGTTCAGTTGAATATGACAGACATGAGTGATTTGATGAATTAACGGAAAAATTTTAGAGTAATAAAAAAAGTTAATAAAAATTTAATTATATATATATATATATATATATATATATATATATGAACACACACACACACAGGAGGTGAGTGAAAAGTAACGCCATATTTTATGTCTGATGGACTCTGACGTCTTCTAAATATTATAGTTAAACAGGGGAGTCTATCATACATAAAATAGGGAGTTACTTTTCAATCGCCCTGTATAGTTATTTTCTAAGCGTAGCTTAGATGGGGCACAAGACCAAAAGTATGGGGCACCTAGTGAGGATCAAACTCACTTTTCAGTCGTAACTGATCGTTTCCGCTGTTGACCTTTTCATTGCCTGAGGAAGCCTTCATTTGTAGAAACCGCGGTTGCGGGAAAAGGTTAGAGCTTGTAATATTTTAGATCTTAACTAGCGCTACACTTTTTTTTTTTTTTTTTAATTTTGTATTGAGCACTTTTCAAATGTAACCGTTTCCAGGATAAAGTAAACCTTATCTCTAAAAACAGTTTCATTATATATATATAGATATATATATTTTTATTGAGCCTTTGTCTGTGTTTACTGTTTATTCATTGTTGTGTGTGTGTGTGTGTGTGTGTGTGTGTGTGTATAGGAGGGATTCTACTTTTCAATGTAGACGTTGATGTCCATTAAAACTATTCCGCCTCTTTTGTCGGATGGGATTATGATGATGTTTTTGTCCGTGGACATCTAATTTACGAGCCATTTCTAAAGAGCTTCATCTTTTGACAAAAGCGCATTTCAATGAGTGTTTGATTTAGCACCAATGAACAGCAACATTACAACTGACAGTCATGCACAAGACAGAAATACATATTTGATCTGTCATTAGAAGGTTAATTGATGCAATTTGAATAATTTCTTATTGAAACCAACACGAGAGAACTGCAGTCAGGCAATCCCTGAATTCGTCAAACATAGACAGGCATTCCTACGCAATGTTCATAGAGAATCAGATACGACTCAAATCAATATGTTAACCGACACCTCCCGCTGGTGTAAATTATATCGCTACTTATTTCACCCATCGCACGATACCTTCATACATGCAATATATCGTTGCTGTGAAAGAGAATCGCTTGCTAAAGCTGGCACGCGAGATAGATAAGACGAGAAAACACGGAAAGAATATAAATTCGTAGCATCGTTATTCAGTCAGAAAAATTATTTTATCGAGATATCACTTGACGCCATCTTTCATGCAAAAATACGTAAAATAAACGATACTTCTTTTTTTTATTATTACTGGATGAATTCTTCCCGAATTTTTACGTGTCCATTTATTTATTTATTCATTAAAAGGGACAAGGGATTCTGCATCTAGCACAAGAAACGATAGCCTGAAGGTGACAGGTATGGAGAATATGTGGAAGAGTGTGCGCGTCCTGGGCATGACGGTAAACTACATCCAGCAGCAAGGCCTTTGTTCAGGAGGTTTTTAGGAGCGTGGAACCACCTCTTAATTGCTGGTGTTCCCAAGTTCACCCTGACCCGGGGTGGTAGCACCTGTTAGGGTCCCAACTATAGGCAAATAGTTAACCCCCAAACTGGGGTCAAATACTATGAAAGTGTAAAAATAGGTTTTAATAGCAGCAATAATTTTTTTTGAGGTAAAATTATTGCTAGAAATACATTATTACCAGCAATGCATTTTTTGAAGAAAAAATATTACCAGCAATAAAAATCTTTTCGGCATTAAATAAGCCATTGAGGTTGATATGCCGTAAAGCAAAACAAACCATACCAAAGAGCGTGCGAACGTTTGCTCCGCGATATTGCATCAAATCAACTCGTCGACTTCCAGACTCAGAGAAACGGTATTTTCACCTACAAATTTTCATTCAATCTAATCTGTTTAGTCTCTAAACCAATGCTTAGTAAACGGTTATGAGGAATTATGGAAATTTGGATTAAAGCAAGTTCCTCAATACTTTGCGTTTACATGAATATAACCATTACTTTCTTTGTTTTCCATTTTCATAACAAGTCACCTTTTCTGATTGTCACTTAGAAATACGCCCGAAAAATAACGTTTTTATATCTGTTAAACAAGAAGAAAAAACAGGTTTGCCTATCGTCCGGTTCACAGTCCATAGCAAAGAGCGATTTCAATTTCTACTATGTACAGAATATACGGCACAAGGTCAAAATGGGGAATGAGGAAAAGGACGGTCTTGTTCTGTCTTAACTTAGCTAACCACAAACACTGACCCAAACATACCACAAAATTCTTTACACCAAAACAACGAATTCTTATTTACCTTTCTTACTACATCTACCGTAATACCTCATTGTCTCCAAGAAAATCCTAACTACCCCCCATATGTACAATTCATTGTCTGTACGGGGAGGGGAATAAAAACAACAATTTAAAAAACTAGCCCCAATGAGTATTTACAATATGAAAACAAAACTATTTCCAAAAAAACTAAACAAAATACTGTTAGTAATAAATAAAAAAACCCAACAATTTGTTCTTTACTGGGTGTGCCATACATTCGGCCTTGTGCTAAATCTAAGCTTCGATTGGAAAATCGCTATACCCCTCCACAAACAATTACCACGAATGTATTTATAGAAAAGGCAAAGGGAGGCAACCTTACAGCAGTGAGAAAGTGACTGAAGCCGAGGCGCCGTATCAGGACCAATAATATTGCTCATTTTTCTTTGGATATTATCAAGGGGCTCAAGGTAGATAGCAGGGACCCCGGACCATATGTGGCCGTAATATTCAAAGCATGGACGAATGGTACATTTATGTAATAGTTTAAACGTACAAAAATGTACATTTTAGTCGTAGCACAAAATAGTTGTTAGTATCGCACGAACACAGTAAAAATAAATATTGAAAAAAAATCACCGAGATATATTTCCGTACGAAAAATAACTTATTCTGATAAAATAATATTCGTTTTATTTTCTCAAGGCTTGAAGAGAGATATTTATTTAAATTCTATGGCACCAATTTTCTTTGCTTTAGAATTTTCAGTAAGGTTTATAAACTACAGTCGATTGAGGCACAGAGAGTAACCGTTTAAATTTGAAAGACACTTCTCAGATTTCTCTATTCGTCTAATAGCTGGTTTGGTCGGTGTTTGAAAATATTATTGGGATATCATGTTTGATTCTAATTCTTACAAAGTATCTTTTGTGAAGGAAATGAACTTTATAGAGAAGCAATCGTTTTCTTCGTGTAACATGGAATAATTTTTATCCGAGTCATATGAGGAACAGAAAAAAAAAAAACTTAACTTGACAGCGTGTTTCCCTGTAGCTACCACACTGTACCAATGAACAAGTCTTTGGAAAAAGTATCTGAAGACAACAGAGAACTCGGGGTGAGACAGATTCCAGCCTTTCTCAAAACAGTTGAGTGCGATGCAAACACGGCAATGGCCTCAGCCGGAACTCGAAATCGGTTCGCCGAATTCTTAATCGTTACGCCTCGAGGAAGAAGGAAAACGGTCGGTAGAGGAAAAGAAAATTTCTTCGATTGATGCTTGGCCTAGGCACGCGGCTCGGGGATTGGTGGGTGATGGTGGGGGCCTTACTGCATAAGGAAAGCGCAAACGAACGGGTCATGTGATTGAAGAGACGCGAACTGGTTCGCCGCGGTCTCTCCGGCGTGCTGGGTAGGGACGGCGGGCGGAAAGGTTGGCAGTGAGGGAGCTGAATGGCAAAAGAAAGACACAGTGAGGCTCATGTTGTCTGTGTCAATTTGTTTTATTGCAGATGTTGTGACACCGATACACTAGCAATTAATTCACATGTCACAACAATCAAACCTTCTTCCACTGGTAGATGGGTGATGGGTAACCAGGGTCGGAATGAAGGGAGAAGACAGGAGCGAAAAAGTATGTTTCTCTTTCTTTCATTCCCCACCCGCTGCCGCTACTTTCTCCTCATCTTTCAAATGTCTTCCTGATTCTCCCGAATGTTGCTTCCCAACCCGGTAACACACACACACACACACACACGGCATCTTGAAGATATGATACAAAACAAGACAAAGCGTTGGAGGAAGTAAGCAGTGAAACATTGCAGATTCTACGGGAATTTCGACATCCACCCACTTCAAAAATTACGGAATTTTTTTTAAAAAGGTGTAGCCTTTGGCGTGGACAATGTATGAATATCAGCGCGGAAAGTGAATTAGGAGTGCCGGGTTCAATATCCTTTCTATCCTGTTTCGTTAACTTCCCGCTAATGCCCGTGGAAAATGTATGAATCAATTTTCCCCCAGCTATGGATTAAATGGCAGGGCAGACAAGGTTCTCTAGCCATGGAGTATAGGAGAAGGAAAACTCTGAATTGAAAGCCAGCTTAAAGAGGGTTGGTTTTGTGATGTCAACGAACACTCGTTGCCACTTTTGTGATCCCAGTGAATACTCGTTGTCACTTTCGTAAAAATTCGTTGTAGTAGAGACTTTGTAATCGCGCCGTTGAACAATACTAGTTTCAGACGCCTTCGAATAACACTCGCATTAATAGTACTTGCTCGATAATACTCGCTCGAATAGCAATCCGTATAGTGATCCAAATAGAGAAATAGTATAGTGAATAGTATAGTCTGTATATTAATAGAGGGTAGAGTAGAAATAGAGATCCGAATAGCAATAGATTATAAATGGAGATCATTTAGACGTCATGCGACCTTCCATATATGCGTTTTCTCTATGGTCACGTGATCCACTTAATTCAATAACGGCTCAATGGCGATCTATGTTCAAACTCAAGTGTCGGCAGCGACACTTTATTCCTATATAACAGTTGGGTTCCTTTAAGCTATCTTGACCTGGACACGCCACTACTGTGATAGCTGCAGTACATGTGTTGTATCGAGTCGGATCCATTACATACATTTATGTGCTAATAGTTTTGGTAAAGGTACTAATCCTCTTCTCCCCCGCCAGCTATGGGTAAATCGCAGGACAGACTGGATTCTATAGCCTTGGATGGCAGCCGGTCTAGGAGAAAGTAACTCTGAACTCAAAACTGTATGTAGCCCTAGCGTATCACATGCTATACAGCTAAGGAAAGGGTCGTTCGCGTTGGCTCGATGATCCTGACTGCGGTCGGTCGGGCGATGCTGATGTGTTACATCTACGACCTTAATTAGATATGAAAGTGTAAAAATAGGTTTTTATAGTTAAAATACGAGCCATATTTTCGGAAAAAAATATTACCGGCAATACATTTGACTCGACAGAAAACCTCTTTACAAAAATACGTCAATGAAACCTGATCTACAAACTGATTTCTTACAAAAGGATACATATTCTATTCATACGAAGCCATCCTAAAAATATTTTCGGCATTAAACAACAACTTGAGGTTGAGATATTGTAAAACTCAATAAAATTGTAAAAAATAAAAAATAAAATTTTAAACAATAAAAACTAAGTAATATTGCAAAAAGAAATACTGTAGACCAAACCAATCATTTCCCCTGCATTTCCTAAAGCTCAAAGATTAAACATTTAACATGTTCCGGTCAAAATACTATTTAGTCTCTTCAAAAAAAAAAAAAATTGCTGCGTCTAGTGTTTCTGTGAAGACACTGGGTACCGTATTCCTGGTGTTGATTGTTTGTTTGTTTTTCTATTTTGATCTCAACTCAACAGTCTAACAAAACCACAGTATTGAGTACAAACGTCTAACGTTAACTTGAGAAGAGACAATATTGAAAACGCAATCTCTTGGATCATTGAAAATATCAACAGTTCAATGCTCACCCCCCCACTAATTTTCGGAACTTGTGCCAGACTAGGACAACACGAGAAAAATATGCATATTAATCTATATATTTCAAGTAACCTGACGTCATCTAAAATATGTCATCTTGCAATGTACTAACTTGAATTTTCTGTTTCGAAAACAATCATGCTCCTTATACAACGTTTCTCTTTTTCTCTCGCCTCTGATTTCATTTTTCTTCACCACTGACGCCAGTAATCTTATTCAAACAAGCCAATTTATTTGCACTATGTGTTTCGACTTCGTTTTCTTCGGCACTTCGAGTCAACCACACACAATCGGCAGTATGGCTCCCGAGAGAATTGACAGTGATGGCGGTTGTGCCAACACACTGGGGTCTGCACAAATGAATAATTGTGGCCCGCGAAGCCTAATTCCCTAACATAGAGTAACAATGATATGGAACACGACCTGATGGAGAAAAAAAAATGTTGGAATGGCGAGTAATAATAATATTTGAAAGTGGTGGGAATGAAAGATATAAAATGAATGTAACTTCGAAATACACGTTTGTAAGTGACTGATATTCACTTAACAGCAAACCAAAAAAAATAACGAAATAATAAAAAGGTGTGATTTCTTTAAAACGAGGTATGTTTAGAAAGGATTCAGCCATTTTGAATATTTCGACTCTTGCCCATTCATCATATCTCCTGCTGGGTGATTGATAAAATATCGCATTACATAGATTTGTCAGCGCCCCCACAAACCATAAGTTACTGTCTAGATTTAGATCTCTGTGATTTCTGGTTTTTTTTTTTTAATAGCCGTTTGAAAGAGAGAATATTTCAGTTCGTGGGCAAGATTAAGGAGAACGTGATGAAGCAGCAATTACTAAATGACTCATTTTCCGTTAATATTAAATGACTAGATTATTTAGGGATACATCTCTTATGTCAATGTTTATTCTTATTGTTTTCATATGTTTTTAATGGAGAAAAGAAACTAAGCTTGTCTACAGGAACCAGTACATGGTATATTATAATATATATATATATATATATATATATATATATATATATATATATATATATATATATATATATATGTGTGTGTGTGTATATATATATATATATATATATATATATATATATGTGTGTGTGTGTGTATGCATATTTTGTGAAATATGATGTATAAAAAATACCTTGTGAGCCATTTATTTAAATTTTATGCACTTATTTTTTTTCATTTTAGAGAAATGAGTGTAAAAACCGTCCAAAGTATTGGTTTCCCTGAGCGCTTCCAGTTAATACTTTCATCATTTGCAAGATAGTATTATATATATATATATAATATATATATATATATATATATATATATATATATATATATAGAGAGAGAGAGAGAGAGAGAGAGAGTAAAGGACGGTGAAGTAGGGAGGGAAAAGTTAGAGAGAGAATGAGAAACAAAAAGACAAAAACATTGAAGAGGTGATGTTGAAAGACAATATAAAATGGGAAATGTAAGAAGAGAGAGAGAGAAACACAGTGATAATAAGTGAGAAGGGAAGAAAGACCAAACTACAGAAGAAGAAAGACAGATATATCGTACCAACAATAGAGAGAGATAGAAAACTAGGGATACGAAAAGTAGGAAAACAAAGTAAAAAAAAAAAATGAAAAAAAAAAATGAAAAAAAAAAGAAGAAAAAGAAGATGAGATCCGGGTGTGGAGCGAGGTAAGGGTAACTGCAGTAGTTGGAGAAAGAGCATGTGTCATGTTGTTCCAAGCCAGACAAAACACTGAAATACCAAAGCTTATTTGTATATTGGTTAACATAACGGCCACGAAGACGCCAACATCACTAATGATGATGACGAGAAAGGAAATCGAAAGGAGAAAAGTCTCTCCGTTGGGAAATGAGAAGAAAGACGAGAGGATGGAAGGCGCTTTCCGAAGACGGGAAAATAAATGCCGTTGTCAAATGAGAAACAGAACTAACGCGAAATGGGAGAGGAGGCTACTCTGTGTGTGTGTGTGTGTGTGTGTGTGTGTGTGTGTGTGTGTGTGTGTGTGTGTGTTTTAAGTAAATATGAACTGAAATTTTCCTGTTATTTCCAGATTAAAATGTAGCGAATAGATATGATGACAATCTCTCTCACCCTCTCATTCATATATGATAAAATACAATTTAAAGGTATGCTATATCCGTGGGTTAAAAAGCTCAAATATCAGGGATAAAGCGCTTGTAAATATAAAAATAGATACGGAATTCAACATCCAAAGGCAACAGTCTGTTTCATGCAAAACGCAATCGCCAGGCCTTCGATATGTGTGTATGTATGTATGTTCTCCTTTAGTCATATATATATATATATATATATATATATGTAACCCCTTTTATCCTCAATTCTCAACAAATTTTGCTAAAATAGTTTTGCCTTTCATTCCGAGCAGAAGAAGCCGAACCCAACAGACGTCGACAAAACGACTTTTCCACTTTGTCTCATAATCTACACATTTTCTTCGGACAATATTATACGTCATATTAACATATATATATATAAAATACAAAAGGCTCAGACACTAATATTCCTTGGTTATAATCTATTACATTGGAATAGTAATCACGATTCAATTCATCAGAAATACAAATTCAAAAAGCTCAGTCCTGGG